AAAAGAAGTTTAGAAATAAACTGCAAATCCAAACATTCTAACTGAGCTAAAGTGTTGAAAATTTTCAATATTTTTCAATACAAAATTATATATTAAATTGATAATTAAAAGCATCTTTATCAGCTTTATTGTTTTTAATTTAAAATAGAATTTTTTAAGTTATAAAGAATTTCTTAAATTTCTTACATTTATTATAAATTAATATTTATTCAATATTAGGAAAGAAAGATGTTCATATTGAACAAATTTTTTATTTAATATATTTAATGTTAATAGTTATTGATTTTAAAAAAATATTATTTTAACAGATCTATCAAAATTTTATAAAGATTTTTGAGAAGAAAAAAAAGATTTAGATTAGTACCAAAACTTTAATAATAATCAACAAAAAGAGATTAAATGATGAGGAATTTTTTTTATTAATAAAACAACTAATTTGGAGTCATAAAGAGATTATCAAAGGAGAGGATTGCAAATGATTAAAATAAATAAAACTCAAACATATGTAAACTTATCTTATATAATTTTTAATTAATTTATATTTATTATAAGTAATAAAAATAAAAAAATTTTCTTTTAATTATTCAGAAATTACTGGTTATAGATTTAGAGTGGATAAAATTACACATGTTTTTATTCAAAGATAAAGAAGCTTAATAATATGAAGTAAATTATCAAAATAAAATGTAATGGTTGTGTAAAATAATCTTTGCATTATTTTAATTTATCTGAGATCAATGATTAGGAAGGATATATTAAAACTAATAAAGTAAATTCTTGAGAGCACTATAAAAGTTAGAATAATTATTCACTTTCTAGAAACAAAAATCATTAATATCAATTCGGTTGCACTTATTAATAAAATCTAAAAACATTAGAAGAACAACTTCATCTAATTATAAAATAATACATCAAACATGTATATAAGATCAAGTGATTTTAAGATAAATAAATTAAATATAAAATTTAATTAAATAATAGGATTATTATTGTCTTAAATGCTATCTCAATTGGAATTACAGAAAAGTTTGATAAGTAATTATAAAAGTCACATATTTCATTTCTCAACAATATATATTAATAATTTTCGATCAGCTTTCTCAAATAGAAAATAAAATAATTTTTTCTGAATTGTTAAGATAATAACGTTGAAGAATTTAGATATTTAGAAAATAAAAAAATTAGCTGTTAATCTTTAAGAAATATTTTTGTATTTTCTTAATATTTTTACTGATAATCTTGCTATTGATAATTATCATAACTCATTTTTGTAACATTTATTCGCAATAGCTTTTTTAAGATTTAACAATTTGATTATTCTAATCTAACATTAATGCTTTATCATAACAAGAAATGGCTTCTTAATATTTTTTAAGTTCTTATAAGCAGGATCCTAGAAAAATTAATATCATCTAACCTTTTGATTGTATGGTCCAAAATTTACTAGGGTCCTCACATAAAGCTTTGTCATAACAAAAGATAGCTTCTTAATAATTGTTCATTTTTTATAAACAGTCTCCTATTTATGTAGAATAAAATTATTTACCTTTTTTTGTTAAAGTCTTAGCATGTTTTGAGTTCAATACCAAAATCCTATCAAACCAACAGATTGCTTCGCTATATTAGTTTAACCTATATAAGCAATCACCTAATTTAATAAAATCTATTGATACCGATTCCATACAAAGAGTTTATGTTAGATTAATCTAATTTTAAAACTTATTTGAATTACATAAGAGCATCTTAGTAGGAATTACTATAATATAAGCTATCACCTAAAATTATACTTTTATTTTACCTTTCCATAGCATAACATCGATCTAATTGGGATGGATCATTAAAGATGTATCAAATGCAGACAAGGCTTTCACATAATCACCATTTTTAAATAATGTCAAACCTTAATTAAAGTAAAACATTTACCCTCTATGTAATATTATCTGGCTTCAGCAATATCCCAAGAAGATTATTATTTATAACTTAGCTGGTTAGAATCAAGGTTTTTAATTCTTTCATCTAATGTAGTTAATAAGATTTGAGCTACAACCTTTAATTCTATTATTTCTTGGCTAACGTTGTTTAGATTTATAAATTAACATAACATTTGATTTATTTAAATGTTATTCAATGTCTTTAGCCTATATGAAGAGATTTAAAACTATGATCTAATTTTATCTTTGAGTAAAAAAATCATTTAATTAATTTAATCACTCAATTCCGTCAATATCTAAATCACTTCTTTTTCACATTTATTTGATATTTCTTCAACAAAATTAGATAAATTAGAGATTAATTTTTAATCTTTTTAATGACCAATATGAAAGCTTTCTTCATGGCATTAATTGCAAGATAAGCGCAACTTTTCACAACAATTTAAATTTATACAAAATCTCTCTACTTGTTAATTGTGGTCTAAAAATGGACATTGCATTTTTAATTAAAAAAATTATTATTATTTTAAGAAAATTATTTTAATTTATATACTTATAACCTGGTTATTAAATGATGTGCGCCGTAAGTAATTTATTTTAGATTGAGAATTTGGAATTTTAATGATGCTAAAGTCACTTATAATGGTGTTAATAATTTGAAAGGTTTAAAGATAGTAAAATGGAATATCTGGAAATGGTAAATATCAATAGATATAAATAAGATATAAGTATAGGTAAGAATATATAATATGGGTGAGTCATATAATTAAGTGGACCCAAAAAAAATAAGGAAATGGGAAGAGGTGGATGAAGAATTTGCGAGTTATAAATAAGTTACTTATGTATAATGGAATATATAATATGAAAGGTAGGAAGATTGCTATATGGAAAAATTGATATAAGGAATAATGAGAAATTGGGGGAAGCAAAATATGATGATTGATAATAACATTATGATACATATAAATAAATCTAATGAGATTAATCAGTGTTTAACTTTTTTGTTATTGAAATTGGAATTTTTTAAAGATGGTCTAATGAGAAGCAGATGTGAATTTATGTGAATCTAAGTTTGTATAAATGGTTTCTTGGATTTAATTTTCAATTTGGCTTTAACACAAATTTACTAGTATCGTAAATTAAATTAGCTCATAAATTAATAAATATAAAAATTTTTGAAATACTTTGGAATTAATAATTATTGTTACAATCTATTTGTTAAATAGTTTCTATTAAAAAGTTATTCTTGATGGTTTATATTTAATTTCTTATAGACAGTCAACTGGCTCAATTAGATTTTTTTGATATATTTTGTTTAATATTTCGACATTCAAATAATAATTGCTCATCTCTGCTATGCAACATCATTTCAATTGTATCCAGAAAAACGAAATTAGAAATTTTTGACAAAATTCGAAAAAGAATAATCATATATTTAAAATAAAATAATTTATTTGTTATTTCGGCTTAAAACTATTAACATCCTTTTATATAATTCTATAAAATTAATGTGGAACATTTTTCCAGAAGAAAAAAGATATCATTAAAAAAATAAATGGAAATTAATACAATTATTAAATAAAAGTAACTATTTTTTTGAATCTGGAAAATAGCTAATAAAAGTGAAATAAATGATTTGATTATTATTATCTAGGTATGGAAATATATTTTCATTTTTTTTTTTGACATTCTCAATTAGTTATTTGAATTAAATTTCTTATCTTTTGCAACCTTAATTGTTTGTTTATAGATTTTAAATGTTTTTATACACTTTTTCATCTATTTTACTTTAAATCAGCCAAGAAAAAATTTCATGTAAATCACCTTTTAATAAAATTTAAAATTACCTTTATTCTTATAGCTTAACTATTTATTTAGTCATCATGAGAAAAAATAAATATTAGACAACTAAGTATTTAATTTTTTGATGTTATCTATGACAAGAGAAAGTTGTAAATATAAATATAAGTTGGTAGATAATTTTTTCAAATTAACTAATAAGAATAGAGGATGAAAGCAGAAAAGTCAAATATTTTTTTGAATATGAAGATATTATAACAAAGAAAATAACATATTAATCAGATAAGATGTAAAATAAAAATTTTAAATTAATTTTTATTTTTATGAGAAAGAATAATAAATTGAATGATAATTTAATAATATTGAATCCTTTTAGATTGCAGAGGGTGTTTAAATCTGGATGTATAT